AGTATAAAATAAACTGTATCATACCCACTAGCCTAGGCCTACACTTTAATTATTTGGCAGATATATTTTTGAAAGAAATCTCTGTATTGGTATCTAGTAACGATTAATTATTGTTTATTGCATTGCTGTAACTTTGTCAGACATCCAGGAGGCTCTGTGTTTAAGATAAATTTAATTTCTGGTCTTTTAGTTAGCTGGAAGGATAGGACTAAAGATTGCAGGCTAGGCCTACCAGATCCAATGACTGGTTAACGGCACATGTGGCGATTTGGTTTTGCAGATAAAGGAAAAACACTGTTATTGTTTCACACAGGCATAAATATTTTGGTTTCTATAAATTTTGTAAATTTTAATAAAATAGTGAGTTATACTACTTAGGCCTATTATGGAAACACATCAATTTGAAAGGTGTGTCGTTATTGGCTTCATTTACGGCTGAATTGAAAGCCAACTCCAACCACGGAATATTCTCATCCCACCTGTTTTGACTTTCAGCGTGGAAAGCGATTAGTGCAGATCTTAAATTTCTGTGAAAACGCTCAACTTGGTTACCATGTGGCCTATAAGGTGAGGTAGTAATATGTCGTATCCCATGAGTGAAACAGAAATTCTTAAAAAGCTTGCTAGTGAAAGGCGTGCCATTGTCTGACACAATCCATTTTGGATAAGAGAAATGCTGGAAAAGTCTCTCCTTTAGAGTCCGACACGCAATCTCAGCTTTAGCCTGCCTAATCGGGAAAATCCAAACAAATTTACTGAAAGAATCTGTGGCTGTCAATAAGTACTGGTTTCCTTGCCGACTCCTAGGGTAAGGGCCAACAAAATCCACATAAATCTTCTCCATTACATAATCGGAAACATCTGACGCCAACTTTCCTATGTGAGAATCTTGGGCAGGTTTACTCAAACTACAAATTTCGCATCCTTTTACTCGTTCCGCTATCTCATCACGCCAATTCGGCCAATGAAAGAACTCTCCTATCTTTAACGTGGTTTTGTGCTTACCAAGATGTCCTCCTACAGCCGAGCAGTGAAAATAATCAAAAACCAAAGGTACCAAACTCAAGGGCAATTCAATTTTCTTAATGCCTTTTCCACCTTGCCAATACAAAATTCCCTTGTTCAACGTAAACGCTGGAGGGGCATTTCCTTCTTTTACTTTCTCCACAATTCTTTGTATTTCCTCATCCTTACGCTGGTGTGAAATCAAATCAGAAAAGGCCAAAGGAAAATCTACCAACAAACCTCCCACTAGATTTTCTACTTCTCCCTCTTTGGTTTCCCTACTTGACGTCTCCTGATTGCATGAGTCATACATCCGTGAAAGCGCATCTGCCACCACATTCATAGTTGACCTGATATGTTGAACCCTAAACTTTAAAGACATTATTCTCATAACCCATCTCCCTATCCTTCCAATCTGTTTTGGGTGAGCTAAAATCCATGACAAGGCCTGGTTATCGGTCTCCAAGAGAAAAGGTGCATGTTCCAGGTAAGATCGAAACTTTTCAATCGCTTCAACAACCGCTAACCCCTCAAGTTCATAAATGGAGAACTTGCGCTCACTTTCCGAAAGGGTCCTAGAATAGTAAGCCACAGGCTGTCTAACTCCATCTGTCTCTTGTTGCAATACCGCCGCGATAGCAATCCCGCTGCTGTCCGTTGTTAGAATTAGTTCCTTTGAGAAATCAACCATCCTGAGTACTGGGGGGTTCATCAGAGCTTCCTTGAGAGCTACGAAGGCCTGGTCCTCTTCTTCTCCCCACTTGAAGATAGCTCCTTTCTTCCGCAACTTATTCAAGGGTGCACATATTTCCGCATACTTAGGTATGAATTTAGAGTAGAAATTCACCATTCCCACGAAGCGTGACACACCTTTAACATCTTTGGGAGGTTGATAGTCCCTAATGCTTTGAGTTCTATTAGCATCAATGGATACGCCACGATGAGAAACGATGTGTCCAAGGAAAGAGATCTCCTTTACAGCTAAATTTAACTTCTTGGGATTTACTGTCAATCCTGCTGTTCTTAAACGGGTAAAGACTTCCTCTAAATGTTTGAGATGGTCTTCAAAAGACTCTGAATATATCACACAATCATCCAAAAAATTTAAAACATATCTGAACTTAATGTCACTGAAAATGTGGTCTAACAGTCGTGTCAAAACTTGAGCTCCTGTTGCTAACCCAAAAGGCACCCTAGTGAATTGGTATAGGTTCCAAGGCACACAGAAAGCCGTCAATGCTTTGGATCGGTCAGAGAGAGGAATTTGATGGTAGGCCTGATTCAAATCGATACAACTGAAATACCTAGCCTTACTAAACCAATGAAATGCAGAGTGCAGATCGGGGAGTGGAACTTGTTCAATCTCAATATATTGATTTAATTTACGAAAGTCAATAACACAACGCCATTGTTGTTCAGTAGGATTTTCACTTTGCGTCCCTTTGGGAACCAGGAAGGCAGCACTAGAGTGAGGGGAAATAGAAGGCTCAATTATATTTTTTGATAGTAATTCGTCAATATGATTCCTCATAACTTCCATCTTAGGTGGGGATAACTTATAGGGATGTGACTTAACTACCACGTTTTCCTTCAGTTTTATGTCGTATTCGATTAGATGCGTCAATCCTAACTTCTTAGTAAGGACATCTGGAAATTTAGCACAAAGATCTTCTACAGCCTTCCTTTCACTGGGAGTTAACAAATCCTTGGTCTTGCTATCACTCACAATTAAATTGTTTTTTGAAACTTTGCCCTGGGAAGTATGGGTGACTAAGTCAGGATCACTACAATTGGCTAACGGAATCTTTACTTTGCGGTTAAACTTAAAGTACAAGTATTGTGATTGAATATCCAAAACTAACCCAGCCTTACTTATAAAATCAGCTCCTAATATACATCCCATTCCTAAATTTCTTGAAACTAAAAACTTCAGTTTCCATGTAAAATCTGAAATTCTTACTTTAACAGTGGCTAATCCTTCAATTGCAATAGGTGAACTGGTGGCCGTGACACAAGTTATGTCTGTAAAAACCCATTCATACACAAGATCCCTTTTTTGTAAAGTAGCATAAAGGTCATGGCTGATCAAACATCTAGAAGAACCTGAATCCATTAAAGCATTTACACACAATCCTCCAAAATTTACTCTGACCCAGGGGACTCCATAGTTACTCCTAGAAACTGTAGAAATGTTAGCTGACAACTTGTTTGTTTTAGCCCTGGTCCATTGTCGCCTGTACTTTCTCTTGGGTTTATGACGCCGTGAAACGTTTTGAGGTACGTGCCGGCCAAACGCCCTCACGCCAACTAGTTTTTTGGATCACTACGACCTTGCCTACAAAACCTCCAAATATGTCCGACTTGACCGCAGTTGTAACATCGAGGTGGTCCCCGTGCACCATCTTGTCTTGGGAAGTGTTCTTGACCAGTAGTACTTGGTGGCTTTGAAGTTGATTCTCTGACAGCATTGACTGCGCTTCGTTGTCCCAAAAATTTTCCCCCTGAAAAGTTCTGAATCGGGGTACGGTGTCTATCGGCATACCCTAGGTTCTGAGAGTAAATGCACAATCTGTCTAGTTCTTGAAGATTGGTAGGCCTAGTTGAAAATACAAAGCGGGACCTTTCGACCGGGTTTAATCCCTCAAGGATAACATTTACCAATTCCGCCTCATTCACTGGTACGCGTAAGAGCTCAGCGGATCCTTTTATATCAGCTATGTAACATGGCAGTGGTTCCCCATTCCGTTGGAGCCTATGAAAAAGTTCTTGTTTCATTCCCTGATATTGCCGGTTTGGGATAAAAAATTCAATGATGTCCCCATGGTACTTATCGAAAGACCACCCCTCGCTTAAGGCTAATTTTGTTCTCTCGGCCAGAGGTCCTCGGGTGAAAGGATAAATTAAGTGCAATAGTTCCAAGTCAGTAGCACCCGGTTGCTGTTTCATTTTGAGAACTCGCCTTAAGAAATCCATTAGTTTAGGCAAAAACAATCCATCAGTCTCAGGTATTTCCTTCAAAAATCTATCCATTGGGTGGGGTAATTTACTATACAATGATACCTTACTAACCTGGCTAGTTACTCTGTTTACCTCTTCCCTAGCGTTGAAATGCTGGTTCGGTGAACTCAAATTTATTAGACTGTGGGATGTGGCTTGGTTTAGGTTAGGTTCGGTTTTACTCTGGGGACTTTCAATACTTCCCCCCTCTACAGTATTCTCTATAGGCCTATGCTGTTCATGATGTACCACCAGTGGCTGCAAAATCTTTAATTCCTGCTGCTCCTTTTCTTCTTCCCCAGCCTTCGTTGTTGGTTCATTAGAGGCTGCCTCTATCCTCTCTAATTCTCTCAATCTGTCTTCGATTACCTTAAGAAGGTTAGGCGTTAGAGATTGCATACCTTGTACAGCCTTCTTTTCCTTAGCATCCATACCCTCCCCTAAACTTACGAGGATCCCTAGCCGCCTCAACAAATGTTCAAGTCTAGCTTTGTATCGTTTCAGGGCACTGTGTGAACTTTCTACATCAATTCCCTCTACTATACCAGAAAACTCTTCGTACCTGCGATAACAACGATTCACCTCATCTGTGACCTTAAAATAACTTACACCCTCAAGGTTCTTTGCATCAGAATCAACATTGTCCGAAAAAGCTTGACGCAAATTACGCCTCATCGAGTTCACATCTAATTTCTCAAAATCCAGTCCACGTACCGCTAACTCAAAAATAAGATCCTCTTTCAACAAAAGGTCCGGATTGAAAGCCATGTTGGTTCGCCCTAATTTAACAACAACCTAACACAAACTAAATAAAGCGTCTTTTCTTTTACCTAGCACATCTTTACTTTCCACTCCTCTACAAAAAGGAAAAACTTTAAAAATTTACTTTATCACAGCCCGTTCCTCGACCTGTTAGCAGAGTGGCGCAGAATTTGTACCACCTGAAGGGTGGGACAATCTCAAACAGGTCAGCAGGACCGGGAAATGATAACACATCGTAACTGACTCACCCTGATTTATTAAAAGAAAAACAAATACCCTTTTACAAACTGGTTCAAACCATAAATGACAAATTTACTACAAGTATGATAAAAGCGTAGACAAATTCCTAAATAATTAACACCTGAAAAGTCAAAATGTTGAATTACTTATCAACTAAAACCTTTGTTTCGCCAACCTTAACACAAGACGAGATTTTGGGCCCAAAACTCTTAAAAGATACAAATACTTAAATAAAATTACAACCTGCAATAAAGAAACTAACTATAAATCTAAACAGTAATTCCTGGGACACCAAGTCTGTGCTGTAACCTATTGAAGCTTGGCCAAAAAATTTATAAAAGTTAAAGTTAAGTGAAATTTAATCAAAACATCTTTTAATTCTTCCCAGTATGGGTTTACAGAATAAAATTCAATATAAAATGAGTTAAAGTTAAAGCTAAAATTCAGAACAGATAAAACAGTTTAACGTTACAAGAATCTCTACCAAAAATTCGCTGGAAATCACCAAGTTAAAGTTAGGCCAGAAATAATAACCAAAATTTATAAAGTTGTATACATGAAGTTAATTTGAGTCCATGGGTGCACCCACTAAGTTCAAATAGGCCTAGGCCTAATTTAGATTTCACTTTGAAAGTTGTAGATCAGTCCATCCGCTGAAGCAAAATAATTTCCAAAAAGTTTAGAAGTCACCTGAGTATCGAGCAATTTTGAGGTGTGTTGGCGAGGTGGACAGAAGTAGGTAGTTGCCCATGGATGTACTCTAGCGTTGAAAAACTCCAGGTCCGACAGACTCAAAAAGGGTCCTCGCCTCCAAACACAGGGTAGACAAGAGGTTCCTCTAAGTGGTGTTGCTTTCCCATACCCAGGTGTCTAGGCTAGTAGGCCTGCGGCTTCAAGTTAGTTCTACGATGACCTCAGCGTGTTCGTCCCAGGAAGTCGAACCCCTGTTACGAAAAACTTCATACATAGTAATCTGTATACAATAGGTCTAAGTTTTAAATGAAAGTGAAATTCGTTACATCTTTAACACTCAAAATTTGAGATTCATTTAGTTCACATTACATGTTAGAACATTTTGATATTTAAAAAAAAATAGCTACATACAATTGGAAATAAAACCTACTAAAACCAAATCTGAACTGACAAAGATAAGTTTCCTTTTTTTTTACAAGTGTTTCCATAATAGGCCTAAGTAGTATAACTCACTATTTTATTAAAATTTACAAAATTTATAGAAACCAAAATATTTATGCCTGTGTGAAACAATAACAGTGTTTTTCCTTTATCTGCAAAACCAAATCGCCACATGTGCCGTTAACCAGTCATTGGATCTGGTAGGCCTAGCCTGCAATCTTTAGTCCTATCCTTCCAGCTAACTAAAAGACCAGAAATTAAATTTATCTTAAACACAGAGCCTCCTGGATGTCTGACAAAGTTACAGCAATGCAATAAACAATAATTAATCGTTACTAGATACCAATACAGAGATTTCTTTCAAAAATATACCTGCCAAATAATTCAAGTGTAGGCCTAGGCTAGTGGGTATGATACAGTTTATTTTATACTCATTAAACAAAAGAAAAGAAATTTTACAAGTCAGGGATTAAAATGAGATTAACAGAACTTTTGAATCTTAAAAAATGTGTAACATTTTAACAGGTATGAAACTTCCTACCGGCGAAACGAACTAATCAGCATTTTTCTCTGAGTCAGTTTTGAGATCTTAATTAGTAGTTAATACAAATTCAACTTACCATTATAATGGGGTTGTGGGTGAGTCAGTCAAACATGAAATTTAAAATGATATCACTCAAACATATTTAAGGAAACAAAATTCAAAAGACTTAGGTAAAAGTTCTAGAGTGAGAAAAACTACATGGTACTTCTCTGCAAGATGGCGAGGCAAGAGAAAAAGAAACCGGGACGCCGACTCAACTAACGACTGAAACCAAAACCGAAACTTAAACAACAGTAGCGGATTTAAACATAGTCAAACGACTGGAAAAAGTAACACAAAATTAATATCGTCCACCAACATGATTTCCAATACGCCTTAAATTCTAAACCAAAGTAATATTAAATATCTCAAACAAATAAACTTCCACTTGATTTCCTATAACGTTGTCAATTTTCGGGTTGTCATTGCCGATGCTCCCAGTTCTACCACACACGCAAAATAAAATCTCAGAAACTCGGTGTTCTCGCACTATAAGAATGTTTTAGAGAAAACTCTCATCATTGATTAAGTTCTCTTATGACCCAAAAAAACTGGTGACGGAAAAAATTCAAAAATTTCTGGTGAATTTCCGGCACAAAATGTAACATGTTAAAATGTAACATGTTAAAATGTAACATGTTAAAAATGTAACATGTTAAAATGTAATATGTTAAAATGTTACATGTTAAAATGTAACATCCTAAAATGTAACATTTTAAAATGTAACATTGTAAAATGTAACATGTTAAAATGTAACATTTTAAAATGTAAAATGTTAAAATGTAACATTTTAAAATGTAAAATGTTAAAATGTAACATTTTAAAATGTTACATGTTAAAATGTAACATCCTAAAATGTAACATTTTAAAATGTAACATTGTAAAATGTAACATGTTAAAATGTAACATTTTAAAATGTAACATTGTAAAATGTAACATGTTAAAATGTAACATTTTAAAATGTAAAATGTTAAAATGTAACATTTTAAAATGTAAAATGTTAAAATGTAACATTTTAAAATGTAAAATGTTAAAATGTAACATTTTAAAATGTAACATGTTAAAATGTAACATTTTAAAATGTAACATGTTAAATGTAACATTTTATCATGTTAAAATGCAACATGTTAAAATGTAAGATATTAAAATGTATCATGTTAAAATGTAATACGATAAAATGTAACATGTTAAAATGTAACATCCTAAAATGTAACATTTTAAAATGTAACATGTTAAAATGTAACATTTTATCATGTTAAAATATAACATGTTAAAATGTAACATCCTGAAATGTAACATTTTAAAATGTAACATGTTAAAATGTAACATTTTAAAATGTAACATGTTAAAATGTAACATTTTAAAATGTAACATGTTAAATGTAACATTCTATCATATTAAAATGCAGCATGTTAAAATGTAACATATTAAAACGTATTATGTTAAAATGTAACATGTTAAAATGTAATACGTTAAAATGTAACATGTTAAAATGTAACATCCTAAAATGTAACATGTTAAAATGTAACATCCTAAAATGTAACATTTTAAAATGTAACATTTTAAAATGTAACATGTAAAAATGTAACATGTTAAAATGTAATATGCTAAAATGTATTATGTTAAAATGTAACATGTTAAAATGTAATATGTTAAAATGTAACATGTTAAAATGTAACATCCTAAAAAGTAACATTTAAAAATGTAACATGTTAAAATGTAACATGTTAAAATGTAATATGCTAAAATGTAACATGCTAAAATTTAACATCGTAAAATGTAACATGTTAAAATGCAACATGTTATAATGTAACATATTAAAATGTAACATTTTATCATGTTAAAATGTAACATGTAAAAACGTAATATGCTAAAATGTAACATGTTAAAATGTAACGTCGTAAAATGTAACATTTTTTAATGTAACATGTTAAAATATAACATTTTATCATGTTAAAATGCAACATGTTAAAATGTAACATGTTAAAATGTAACATGTTAAAATGTAACATATTAAAATGTAACATGCTAAAATGTAACAGTTTATCGTGTTAAAATGCAACATGTTAAGATGTAGAATATTAAAATGTAACAAGTTAAAATGTAACATGTTAAAATGTAATATGTTAAAATGTTACATGTTAAAATGTAACATCCTAAAATGTAACATTGTAAAATGTAACATGTTAAAATGTAACGTCGTAAAATGTAACATGTTAAAATGTAACATGTTAAAATTGTAACATGTTAAAATGTAACATTTTAAAATAAAAAATGTTAAAATGTAACATTTTAAAATGTAACAAGTTAAAATGTAACATTTTAAAATGTAACATGTTAAAATGTAACATTTTAAAATGTAACATGTTAAAATGTAACATATTAAAATTTAACATGTTAAAATGTAACATGTTAAAATGTAATATGTTAAAATGTTACATGTTAAAATGTAACGTCGTAAAATGTAACATGTTAAAATGTAACATGTTAAAATGTAACATTTTAAAATGTAACATGTTAAAAAGTAACATTTTAAAATGTAACATGATAAAATGTAACATTTTATCATGTTAAAATGCAACATGTTAAAATGTAACATATTAAAATGTAACACGTTAAAATGTAACATTTTATCATGTTAAAATGTAATATGCTAAAATGTAACATGTTAAAATGTAACATTTTAAAATGTAACATGTTAAAATGTAACATTTTAAAATGTAACATGATAAAATGTAACATATTAAAATGTAACATGTTAAAATGTAACATTTTATCATGTTAAAATGTAACATGTAAAAACGTAATATGCTAAAATGTAACATGTTAAAATGTAACATCGTAAAATGTAACATTTTTAAATGTAACATGTTTAAATATAACATTTTATCATGTTAAAATGCAACATGTTAAAATATAACATGTTAAAATGTAACATATTAAAATGTAACATGCTAAAATGTAACAGTTTATCATGTAAAAATGCAACATAATAAGATGTAGAATATTAAGATGTAACATTTTAAAATGTTACATTTTATCATGTTAAAATGCAACATGTTAAAATGTAACATATTAAAATGTAACATGTTAAAATGTAACATGTTAAAATGTAATATGCTAAAATGTAACATGCTAAAATGTAACATCGTAAAATGTAACATTTTAAAATAAAACATGTTAAAATGTAACATTTTATCATGTTAAAATGCAACATGTTATAATGTAACATATTAAAATGTAACATGTTAAAATGTAACATTTTATCATGTTAAAATGTAACATGTAAAAACGTAATATGCTAAAATATACCATGTTAAAATGTAACATCGTAAAATGTAACATTTTTAAATGTAACGCGTTAAAATGTAACATTTTATTATGTTAAAATGCAACATGTTAAAATGTAACATTTTATCATGTTAAAATGTAACATGTTAAAATGTAACATTTTATCATGTTAAAATGCAACATGTTTAAATGTAACATATTAAAATGTAACATGTTAAAATGTAACATGTTAAAATGTAATATGTTAAAATGTTACATGTTAAAATGTAACGTCGTAAAATGTAACATGTTAAAATGTAACATGTTAAAATGTAACATTTTAAAATGTAACATGTTAAAATGTAACATTTTAAAATGTAACATGTTAAAATGTAACATTTTAAAATGTAACATGTTAAAATGTAACATTTTAAAATGTAACATGTTAAAATGTAACATTTTAAAATGTAACATGTTAAAATGTAACATTTTAAAATGTAACATGTTAAAATGTAACATTTTAAAATGTAACATGTTAAAATGTAACATTTTAAAATGTAACAAGTTTAAATGTAACATTTTAAAATGTAACATGTTAAAATGTAACATTTTAAAATGTAACATGTTTAAATGTAACATTTTAAAATGTAACATGTTAAATGTAACATTTTATCATGTTAAAATGCAACATGTTAAAATGTAACATATTAAAATGTAACATGTTAAAATGTAACATATTAAAATGTATTATGTTAAAATGTAACATGTTAAAATGTAACATGTTAAAATGTCATATGTTAAAATGTAACATGTTAAAATGTAACATCCTAAAATGTAACATTTTTAAATGTAACGTGTTAAAATGTAACATTTTATTATGTTAAAATGCAACATGTTAAAATGTAACATTTTATCATGTTAAAATGCAACATGTTAAAATGTAACATATTAAAATTTAACATGTTAAAATGTAACATGTTAAAATGTAATATGTTAAAATGTTACATGTTAAAATGTAACGTCGTAAAATGTAACATTTTAAAATGTAACATGTTAAAATGTAACATTTTAAAATGTAACATGTTAAAATGTAACATTTTAAAATGTAACATGTTAAAATTTAACATTTTAAAATGTAACATGTTAAATGTAACATGTTAAATGTAACATTTTATCATGTTAAAATGCAACATAGTAAAATGTAACATATTAAAATGTAACACGTTAAAATGTAACTTTTTATCATGTTAAAATGTAATATGCTAAAATGTAACATGTTAAAATGTAACATTTTAAAATGTAACATGTTAAAATGTAACATTTTAAAATGTAACATGATAAAATGTAACATTTTATCATGTTAAAATGCAACATGTTTAAATGTAACATATTAAAATGTAACATGTTAAAATGTAACATGTTAAAATGTAATATGTTAAAATGTTACATGTTAAAATGTAACGTCGTAAAATGTAACATGTTAAAATGTAACATGTTAAAATGTAACATTTTAAAATGTAACATGTTAAAATGTAACATTTTAAAATGTAACATGTTAAAATGTAACATTTTAAAATGTAACATGTTAAAATGTAACATTTTAAAATGTAACATGTTAAAATGTAACATTTTAAAATGTAACATGTTAAAATGTAACATTTTAAAATGTAACATGTTAAAATGTAACATTTTAAAATGTAACATGTTAAAATGTAACATTTTAAAATGTAACATGTTTAAATGTAACATTTTAAAATGTAACATGTTAAAATGTAACATTTTAAAATGTAACATGTTTAAATGTAACATTTTAAAATGTAACATGTTAAATGTAACATTTTATCATGT